GACAGGAGGTTGAACAAGAACAAGCACAAGCACAAAAACAAGGACAGGAAGAAGAAGAAGAAGAAGAAGAAGTGAAGACAACTGGGTCAACCGCCCGGCAAAATCGAACACGAACACGGAGACATAAACGGTAAACGTTAGACAGTTCGCATGATGTCAAAAAAAACGAGCACGAGCACGAGCAACAAGAGAAAGAGAGAGAGAAAGAGAGAAAGAGAAGGGGAAAGAGAGAGAAAGAGAAAAGAGAGAGAAAGAGAAAGAGAAAAGAGAGAGAGATCCAGTCCATAGGGTTTCATCACCTCATCACCTCACCACCGACCGCCCACCGCCCAACACATGCCCCCCCTCCCCACCCCACCCGGCCGCGCCAGTGCCTATCGTCTCCATTTCCTCTCCACAGCAGCCACAAGCTGTTCATGTGCTCTCCTACACGCTTGTGCGTACCGATCGGGGATGAGCGCGTCTAGGGCTTCTTGTTCTTGTTCGAAGGGTTCGTAGGAGAAGTAACCTGTTATGCGTTAGCAAGGAGGTCTAAAGCGGGGACGGAAGAGCAGGATAGGGGAAGGAGGAGGAGGAGGGGTGGTGCTGGTGCTGGTGGTGGGAAGGGAAGGGACAGACACAACGCACCTCTAAACCCCGTGCCCAAGACCGCTTCCACCACCTCCAACACCGGCAAATACCCCCTATCCTCAAAAGGCAACGGCCTCCTTGCAGCACTCCAAACCTGTCTCGGCTCCCAACCGCCCTTCCACCTCTCGTCCAGTTCATTTCCTCGCCCTAGCGGAGGGTCCAAGCGCGCGCCATCCGAGATCTGGAGAAAGAAGATCTTGCTCGCCGGGATTGATTCCGTGAGTTTGTGTAGGGAGAGTGTGAATACCGAAGGATGATATCCCAGGATCCAACCGCTGGGATGGGTGGGGGAGGCGCCGTACACTGGGGAACCGGAGATCTGGAAGGTATCGAGGCACAAGCCTAGATTTGGGTGATTCTAGTGCGTGAGCGGGAGCACGGAGCATACATGGTGAGCGCGGCCGGGGGAGAAGGGGGGGACTCACAGCTTTCTGTACTATCTCCCAACATCCTTCCCAGGTGTTCACATACGCTCCCCAGCACCAAGGTTCATACGCTACCCTAACGCCCCTCTCCTGTGCAGCCTGAGCCAGTCTCAGCATATCCTTCGCACACGCATCCACCCCAGCGCTAGCGTTGAGCTCATTATTACTCCCAACTTGGATCATCTCCGCCCCTAGGGAAGAAGCGACATCCAGCCACCTAAGTGCTTTCTCCCAAGCCCAAGCATGCCGGTCCGTGTGCTCTGGCCAGCCTTCGTATTGGCTCAGAGGGTGGAGGGTGAGTACGTGCAGTCCTAGCTCTGAACAGAGGGATTTGACGAGGAGTGCTGTGGAGGTGAGTGTGCTCCAGAGGGGGTCGTCCGCTGGGTCACGCGGGTCGGGCTCGAGGGTTGGTGCGCCTGTGGAATGATACTTTGCGTGTGGGGGGGTTAAGTCTGGGTTAAGAGATCGAGAGTATGCGATCTACGAGAAATGAGCACGTGGGGGAGGAGGAGGAAGTGTATTACACACCAAATCATCCATTCCTATCTCGATTGCAGCAAACTTTGCCTCAGCTGCTGCCTTTATCTTGATGGGTAAAGTATGAACAATGTTCATTCCCAATGAAGGTGAAGCGACTGCGATCGGAATTTCGCTCAATTGACGGTAAGGCATTCCATACGAAGTGAATGTTGCCATTGAGACACTGAAGAGAGTGAAAAGATTGACGATCGAAGTGAGACACCGACAAGTAATGGACGCAAGAAAGAGAAAAGGGAGGAAGGGCGCAATGCACAGTGACTGACACGCTTATCAAATCATCACTCGGTCTAGCCCCCCCTTCCCTCTCCGGGTGGCTCCCGCGGGAGAAGCCGGCCGAACAGATCCCCTCTCTCTCTTTGACTACTCACTGCTGGAACAGAGGCGGATGCGCGGATCCATTACATCGGTTTCATCCACTCACATCTACCAGAGCATGATGACGTCAACTTATTCATATCCGCCTCTCTCTCCATCCTCCTTATGGCCTACAATAACCATCTCCCCCCCCCCCCCCCCCCCCCCCCCCCCCCCCC